GACAGACGACCAGCGTTGTATCTCGATAACAGGAAATTAGGAATACATTCAGACAATGAATGGGACGCGGATCAGCACTTGAAGCGCGGCAAATTGAACATTTAACGAAGTGAAGGTGTAAACGAAAGATACTACGTTATCACGAAGAGGGTCAAAACCAGCGAAAAATATGTGACATGTAAAAGATACCAAGGTTGGGTGAAGTGTAGTGACAGTACGCCCAGGAGTATGAGACCAGCAATACAATCGAGCTAAGATATGCAACTGACGGCCAAGCAGGCGGCAGAGGAAGATATGATCGTATCGTGCAATCCTCGCTCGTGACTAGGATCGGCGACTGGACGAAAAAGGGATAGGCGAATATAAGGTCTGTGACCGTGGGATATGAGTCCGTATGGTGATGCATTGCAGTAATCGGGGCAAGGGGTGGTGAGACAATAGTACAGTTCAGGAATACAAGTCCGTTGGATCAAGCAGCGACGACAAGCCTTATTCGATGCTCATCCGGTTTGGATGTGTCGCCATGGGTCCCCTGTGGAGTTGCAGAGACTTGCCGCGCCGCGTTGCTGTACTCTTCGACACTGATGATCTAGTGAGCGTCACGGTGACAACTAGAAAAACACCCAGAACGTACTCTGCGCCTTCAAGCCCCGGCCAAAGTTTTGCATAACAAGGCAAGCGAAGATAAATGTCGCTATGAGCAGTATTATGGCCAGAACCGCTGTAACATATATCAGTATTAAGTTTCAATCATTACCATCGTGAATACAACAAACGTACAAAACGTTGTCAGTGTTTCCCATACCGCTCCGTAGGTCGCGTCGGTATCTTTGTTCCGAAGAACCTTAACAAGCTAGCATATATGCCAGTTAACGACAGATAGGAACAGCGAAAGCGTGTCGAGCAAACCTTGTAAACGAAATAGACCAATGCCGCGACACAGCCGCCCATGAACGACCACATCATCAGCTTGTTCTCGTGCCGCGCCGCGAGGTGTCCCTCAACGAGGACGATGAGCGACAAGGGGAGGGCAGCACAAGTGAGATAGTATTCCGCGTCGTGTGCGTTCAGGACCAGCCAGATGAACTGCACAGAGAAGCCGACCCAGAAGAAAAGGTCGAACTTGACCAGGCACAGGAAGATTTGGTAGTGAGCGTACATCGTCTTGATGCGGCGATCCGCGCCAAGATACTTGTACACCTTCCAGCCAAACTCGGTGTAGATCCTCCACCCCAGCGCGCAGTACGCGAGTTCTGCGACTGAGATCACTATCGGGATGATGAGTGTAAGTGTGTCAATGGGGATATGTGATATGCCGGTGGTGCCGCTCGGCAAGGATTGCTGGATTTCCTTAATCTGTATGACTGCGTATACGAGGAAGAGGGCGTTGAAGATGCTAGAAACTGGGGCTCAGTATCCCTGTCGTCAAGGAGTGGTAAAATGTTGCTGACGATAGGAAGATAAACTGGAGAGTATTTCGCGCCGCCACGGCGTCTACGGCGAGGACGAACTGAAACACGCTAAAGAGACATGTCATTACGGGGCCCTCTACGGAAGGAACAAGATGCGTACTGAGCAAGCGCGAAGATGGTCAGGTAGACGGGCATCTTTCGCGAGACAATATCAGTGTCCAAGTCTTCCTTGTCAAAGTCATGGAAACGAATCAAGAGGTCGGCCTCTATTGCTAAATCGATTGCAGTCTCGACAAGGACGGTGAGGAGGTACAGCCGACATGCAATGGAGTCTGGGATGAACTGCGGTACGCATCGGTTCAGACTTCGCGATCACGGAGTGGCAGGACGCGTTTGCACGCACCGTAGACCAGGTCAGGGGTTTACGCTGTTCTTTCTCTTTTGCTGTTGATGCGGGAGGGTACGCCCAATCGTGACCGTCAGAACTAGCCCCTTCAAGGTCCTTTCCCGTGGCGTCGGTCTTCTGGTCAAAGGCTAGCGGCTCGACCTTATGCACCTTGTGTCGTTCATTCTGGCTAAAGGGAGTAGCATACTGATCTATGAGGTCGTCATAGGGTACCTTGACGTCCTCGTCCGAGTCGTCATCATGGTGCGAGTGTTGAGTTGACGGATAGGAGGGTTCCCAAGTTGGGGCGTGCGACATGATTGAAGGAGTGTTTTGAAGCTTATTCGTTCGACCTGCGAATTGTCAAGAGAGAGTATGGTGTCGGCTAAGAGAGTGGAAGGCCTCCAATGTCGTTGTCGTCGTTGTCGTAGACAGTGAGCGGCAAGAGGACACCGTTGTAACACGTACGGCCCAAATCTAGCACCGTCCTTTGTTGATCACTATTTGGCCCCAGCGGCTGGCCACCCTCACTACAAGCGCCTCGTTCTATTACCGCTCATCCGTCGCGTGAGTGTTTTGAGGCCCGACCCTCGGTTCTCTACTACGAGGCTGTGCGTGACATAGTGCATAGCTAGACTGTAAACACAAAACAGCAGGATATCCAGACGTGCGGTAGTAAGAGTACTACAAGAGATGATTTAGTTCAAGAGATGATTTAGTTTGAACCAAATGTGTGGCAGGTCCGGCCCAGAGAAGAAGCTAGTCGCTGTCTGTGTCCGTCGAAGAGCCAGTCTCTTCTCCTTCGACATCTGTAGTGGTCACAATGAGTATCGGGCACTGTGATGGGACGGCGACAAGACTTACCGACGAGGTAGTCTGACTCTAGCCTGATTACTGGAGGTAGTGGTCGCGGCGGGCTATAGTGGCTTGCCGCAGACTTTGAGGCAATCATCTTCGACTTGGTATTTCCAGTAGACGCCGCGGTACCTATCACAGGGCTCTGGACCGTGTAAGTCGAGACCGAGCGAGCAGGTGACGAGTATCGGGATCCAGAAGAGGAGGATTGCCGATCGACGGACATGACTGAGGTTTCTCGCAGCTTGGATGGTATCTTGGATTGCGAGCTAGTGTGTGAGACGGGAAGTAGCTGAAAAGGTGTTAATTTAACGTAGGGTTCGTGAACGAGCTGTCTCTTACAGATGGTGAACCGGATAGATCGTGGTCTGTTTTCACCCTGCTGACCGCTGACGCCAACATTAATAAAATGTATGTTGCAGTAGTCATTAAATTGACTTGCCAGTCTTTGGCTTCTTCGCCTTCTTCGTGGGCGACACCGAAGGTGAACCATTCTACTGCTCGTTAATCTCAAGGCTAGCAACTGCGATATTGGAAACATACCCTCTTCTTGTTATTGTTCAGGCTGAACTCGGCCTCGTCTAACACGCTGCCGGTTAGCACAAGTCACGGTAAAGCGCGAGGCGTGACAAACCTGCTTGTTTAGCCTTCGACCTGGACTTGCTCTTCGATGGCGACTTGCTCTCGTCGGAAACGTAACCAGCTTCAGAGTTGACATACGGTGACCCGGCATCGGACGATCTCGCTTTGCTGGACGCATTCCGTGCTGCACCTCTCCTCGAGTTTCCTAAGCCCATGCAGCCACTTAGATGTGGAGCGTAACGATTGGACGCGATCTACGGGGGAGTGAGCAACTGTGGGCTTCAGCGCCAGAGCGCGCACCTGTCGTTTGCAGACAGAACAGTCGAAATAAATATTTCCAGTGGGGGTATCCGTGCCGGCGGGGGAACCGTCTAGAGGCCTTGCGCTATCTGGAGAAGGTTGAGCGGTCCCAGACGCAGACCCATTCGACGGTCCTGGGACGTGTACTACGATGGTTCACGTTCAGCACTCGACAATCGTACCGCAAGTTCTCTCACCGGCATTGCACCTGATCAGTTCACCCCAACAGTCAGACCCAGGCACAGTTAAGATGGAAGACGAAGCGTACCGTGTATGGCAGATCTCGCAGACGGATTTAGACCGTGCAATCTCCTGGTGCGATTGAAGAACGACGTCC